CTGAGATCCTGTTCAGCTCAGAGGGTCTTGTCTCTCTGAGTGGATGCACCAGAGGCCAACAGGGTAATTTTCTGGCCGTATTTCTGACCCTCAGACTGGCTGGCCGGGTTTGGGAAGGAGGTGGCAAGGTACAGCATGGAACCATAGACCAGGATCTGGCCTGGCTTTCACTTTTGACAAGAGCCCCCAGGGAGTCCTAGAATCAGTGTGGTAGCATGGGACCCATTCTTAGACCAGATAATGTTCTGCTTCCTGTGTGTGATGAGAGCCACAGAATCCCATCCCACCAGGCCCCCTCACTCATTTGTTCAATACTGTTTATAAAGTACCTCCACTCTGTGACAGGTTCTGAGCTAGAGATACTAGGCAACCTAGACCAGTAAGATCTCTGTTCTCATAAAGCTTCTAGTCTAACTGGGGAGACAGTAAGTAAGTGGACAGATGAGCACATCTGGATGCAGGCATGAGTACAGCTAGGGGCACTGCCTTGGGAGTTGCCAAGGGCAGAGACAAGTCTCAGGCTCCAGTGTGCTCCTGCAGCCCACTACCAGGGCTGGCTCAGAGTTGGCCCCCACTCAGCAAACATTTGTTGAATTGCTTGGCATGAGAGAGAAAGCATATGAAAAGTGCCCAGTCCTTCTGGTTCTGTCCACAGTAGAAGCCAGCGTGTACACACAAGTATCTCATTTCAATTAACCAACATTTACCAAGGGCCCATTATGTACCAGCAGGATCACAAGCCCTGAGAATGTAGATGTGAATAAAATCAGATCCGTCTCTCTGAGCTCAGCCCAGGATGGAGGCAGGCACGTGAACCAACCAGGCCTGCAGTACACTAGGACCATGGTGGCTGTGTGTGCACCCAGTTCCCACCAGGGCAGGGCTGGGAGGCTATGGAGGGAACACACCAGGATATTTATACACAGATGTATAAACAGATACCCCCAGAGATAAACACACTGAGACTCACAGGTGTGTGCACTGATTACCTGAGCACGTGCCGACATAAATAATGGCCCTGTAGACTTGGATGCCGCACAGGCCACCATGCCTAAGGCCTGCTAGTGTGCCCCACACTGGGAAGGTGTATGGTTGGGACAATGGTCTGTGCGTTGGGGGGCTGGCACAGGCACACTGGGAATCACCAGACCTAGGCTGGGGGACACCCTGAGGTGGGCAGAACTGTTAGTCTAAACCTGAGATGTTAGGCTGATTATTGGCTTGTTTGGCATGGCGATCACCAGAGACGGCCAATCAACTGCACCCCAGGCCTGACCTTCCGATCAGAGGGCAAAAGGTAGGGAATTTGACAAAAAGCTTAACTGTTAGTACTTGTGCTTGCTGAGGAGTCTGAACCAGGTCTGGGTCAGGACAGCGAGTTGGAGGAAGGGGTGTGCTCAGTTAGCTGTTCTGAGCTCGCATTCCTCCAGGGCACAACTGTGCATTTTAGAAACTGCCACTTCCCCGTTTGCACATTTTTGCTATTAGGAGCAAATAGAAAGTTTTCGGGACAGCTCCTGGCACACAGTAGCCCCTCATTCTGTCCGCCAAGACCGTACCTTTGTTTTATGGTGGTAAAAGTTCCAGCCCGTTCATCTATGAGGATGGGAACAAGGGAGCCAGCCTGGAGGAGGTGGCAGGAAGGTGAACCTCCTCTCCTGCAAAGGGCCCAGGAATTTGTTCTAGAATGAGAGGTGGATCCCTCCTCCAGAGCCGCCTTCTGCTGAAACCTTGGAGGGTTTTGTGTATCCTTTTCATAAGAGATACTACTTCTTTGCAGTAATAATAGCTTTTATAGTGCTTTCTGGCTGCCAGGCCCTGCTCTATCTGCTTCACATATGATAACTAATTTAATTCTTTTAACAATCCTAAGTAGGGATGTTATTATTCCCATTTTAGAGATGGAGGAACTGAGTCCCCAAGTGGTTCAGTAAATTGCACAAGGTCATGCGGTAGGGTGGCACCAGAGTCCATTCTCTAACCATTGGGCTCTGCCCCTGCTCTGGAAAGAAGGTATGGTTTTTGCTCCTTTACCCTCACTAATATACTGTGGGATCCTGGATAAGTCACTGCACCTCTCTGAATCTCTTTCCCTGGGAAGCAGAAAGCCCTCCCAACCTGGTGACCTTAGGCTGTTGTAAGACCAAGTTGACTGTCCATATCCTTGCATAGGCTGTGCTGGGAGGAAATGGGGCCCAGTTGCAGCATTCTAGGGAGCAGGTATTTCCAGTGGGGTGCTCTGCATCTTGCCCCCTGGAGCAGGGCCAAGGTGGAGAGTCCTCTTTGAGTCCTACCAGCAGAGCCTCAGCTGGGCACACAGGCCCTTTGAGCCCTCCCAGGAGGACCAGGATTGGGGACATGAACGAGGGTGCCAGGAGAGAAGCCGCTCTCAATGTAAACTCACGCAGAGAAAATCATGAACTGTGCATGCAATTTGCACCCAGGCCAAGGCTCTCAGAGCTTAAATATGTTCTTTTGGGCTATTTATAGTCTTGGAGAAATTAGAGTTATCTGGGTAATGGGAGCGCTGGCAGACTCCAGCTGGTCAGGGCCTGCCAAGGGCTGGCAGGGGAAAGAGTGGGAACTGTGGAACCTTCTGGTGCAAGACTCTGCACTCCCCAGTCTCTCCCCCCTGACCCAGCCGGGGCAGGTAAGACAAGAGGACAAAAGGGTTGGAAAGGAGCCTCCCTTTACAGGGGCCCATAATCTTGGGTCTCTCTGTGGACTAAATGGGAGTGAGGCCAGCTGCCTGGGACCCTTAGAGTTGAGAGGTGAGCTCCTGTACTTCAAACCTATCATTTCACAGATGCTGGAACTGAGGTTCAGAGAGGGTACACCTATCCAGTATACCACAGCTAGTGGGGCCCAGACAAGCTCTGGTCTCCTAGTCCAATCTGCATCAGCATTCCCACAGTAAGCAGAGGTGTAAGATCCAAGAAGCTGGCTGGAGACACTCCCTAGAGGAAAACAGTGGGAATTCAACATCCAGTGATCACATGCTCTACAGCAGACAGCTCCAAAGTGGGTTCTGAATGGGAAAGGCATGTCCTGAGGGACCTGGAGAACAAAAGCCCAGACTCCCTTACCTGGCATTCAAGACTCCCAACTCCCCTTTTAAATATTTCTCTTTCCCTTCCTATACAATGTTCCTACCCCTGGAATATTCTCAGCTCTCATACTCCTCTGTATTCGTGTCTACACTCTTCCCACCTGGGCTGCCTTGACCCCACTCTTCTCTGATTAACTGAAGGCTCCCCCACCCCACCTCAAGGCCTCTGAAGTCCCTCTCCTGGCCCTCCCGCTCTTTGACTTGCCCTCACTCTGAACTCCCTACTGGAGCTAATAGCCCACCAAGGAGGCCTGGTGTAATGGACGCTGTAGTGGGCCACCCACCTTAATTCACAATTTAGGATGGAGGCACTCCTTCCTCCCCAACTGCAGGAAACTTAGGGGTCCAGGCTGGGTGCCTCTCCAGAAATGGCCCGCAACCAAAGAGCTTCACCTGAAGTCATGCCCCCTTCCCTGGGGTGGTGGATATTTGGTAGGGGTATTTAGGCTCTCCCTCCCTTTCCCAGCTCTAGAGCTTCCTCGAAGATCACCCGAGGTCATTGTTGCAACTGTACCTCGGTGCAATTTCTCCCTCTGCCCAGCCCTGCTTCCCTCACCCCTCAAGAGCTTGCTAACCTCCATCTTAGAGAATGCTTTCCTGGGAAGCCGTTTTATGACACCTGGTAACCGAATGGTTAAGCAGCCAGCCTGGGTTCAAATACAGATCAGCCATTTTTAGCTCTATGACCTGGGCTGTTACCTAACGTCTCCATACAATTATTCTATCTACCAAGTAGGAATAATGCTGAGGCAATAGTTTCTATCTCCTGAGGGTCCTGTGAGGATTAAATGAGGTGATGTATGCATGGTGCCCCATATTGAGAAAGCACTTAATAAGCATTAGCTATTATTACTTACATTTAACTTCTCTGAGGTTCAGGTAAATAGGGATAGAAAATTATTATCTGTGTCATGGGGTTGCTGTGACAGTCAAATAAGATTGAGAGGCAAAGGGTTCAGTTCTGTGCTGCTGTGACCTAATACAGACTCAAGGGTCAAGTTCCCTGGGGGCTTTGCCCATCCCAGTGCTGTGGCCTGGAAGCCTGTTCCTCCCCAACTGGTAAGGATCACTGTATTGGTTTCCTGTTACTGCTATAACAAATTAACACAAATTTAGTGGCTTAAAACAAAACAAGTTTGTTATCTTACATGTCTATAGTCAAAAGTCTAGTATGGGTTTCCTAGGACTAAAGTCAAGGTGTTAACAGGCTGTGTTCCTTCCTAGAGGTTCTAGAGGAGAATCTATTTCCTGCTCAATAGGACAATTCTGAGGGCCATCCCAGCTCCAGAGCTTCCTCGCAGGTCACTGTTGCAACTGCACCTCAGTGCAATTTCTCCCTCTGTCCAGTCCTGCTTCCCTCACCCAAGAGCTAACTAACCTCCAACTTAGAGGATGCTTTCCTGGGGAGCCGTTTTATGGCATCTGGTAACAGAATGGTTAAGCAGGTGGTTCCTATTTTCTGTTGGTGACAGAATTCAGTTACTAGGGTTGTAGGATTGAGGTCCCCCTTTTCTTGCTGGCTATAAAATGAAGGTTGGTCCTAGCTTCTAAAAGCCACTGCCTTCCTTGACCTGTGGCTCCCGCCTCCACCTTCCAAGTCAATGCAGGCAGGTGGAGGCCATCTCAAGGCCACCTTTTTTATTATCTTTTACTTCTAAAGACTCATATGCCTAGGTTGGGCCTACCTGGGTGATCCAAAATTTTCCATCTCAAGGTCCTTAATCACATCTTCCTGCAAAGTCCCTTTTGCCCTGTAAGGTAACATACTTCCAGATTCCAGGGATTAGAACATGGATACCTTGGGCAAGGTGAAGGCAGGGGTCATCATTCTGCCTGTCACAGCCACTCAGTATGGGGCAACCTCTGATCCAAAATTTACCTCCTTTTCCAGGGAGAGATCTGTGCAATTCCCTGTGCGGCAGGGACCTATGGCCCCAACTGTTCATCTGTTTGTAGCTGTAACAACGGTGGCACCTGCTCCCCAGTAGATGGCTCCTGCACCTGCAAGGAAGGTAACATGCCTTCTTCCCCAATCCCATCCCCCTCAGATGTGCACACTGCCCAGGGGGGACCACCAGTTGAGGAGTCTGGGCTGCTTCTGCCCCATCCACCCACATGCAGGATCAGGGAGCCTGTATGTCAGGTTTGAGCAGAGGAATCCCATGCCAGGGGCTTCCTTAGCAGGAATATAATAAAGGGGATTTGTTACCTGGTGTGAGAAGAGCTGAAGGAGCATACAAGGGTAGGTGAGCAACTAGAGATTAGCAACTGTGGGAGGAGTTGCTGCCACTCCTGGAAGTGAGGGCCACCTGGTGGGAGCTGGGACATGGACAGGGAGACAGCACAATAGTGCTGGAGCACAAAGGAGACACAGTTCCCTCTAGAGGCCCTGCCCAAGGCAGAGAAAGAAGAGATGCCTGGTGTCTCTCCTGCTCCTGCCCTTGGGTGTGTGAGCCAGGCCTCCTGCTGGCGAGCCCATCTGGGAGCCACCCACAGGGGTCAGGCCCCTGTGACATAGAACAGAGCAGGGGAAGGGGAGAAGTGGATGTGAGGGCAAGCAGGCCAGTGACCAACCTCAGAGTGGGAAATTAGGCCATCCCCAAAACAAAGGGCCCTGAGATAAACTGGCTGGCCCCACCTGNGATAAACTGGCTGGCTAAGATAGCCCTCCCCACCGCAGCTGGTTCCCTTTCCCAGGTGGGCTCATCAGCCCAAAGCAGAAATAGTAAGAATTGGCAGGCCCGCAACCCGCATTCTAGCCCCAGCTCTAACAGCCCTGCGTATTTCTCAGCGGACTCTATGTGGAATGTGTGTCCTAACCCAGCAATCTGAGTAGTTTGGGTTTGGACAGGATGCCCTAACAGAGTTGGGGGTGGAGAGGTGGGGAGTGAGCAGGACGCTGTGCTGGGCCTGAATGGAGAGCCAACAACCTCTTTCCCTCCCTCAGGGTGGCAGGGCCTCGACTGCACCCTGCCCTGTCCCAGCGGGACATGGGGCCTAAACTGCAACGAGAGCTGCACCTGTGCCAATGGGGCGGCCTGCAGCCCCACAGACGGCTCCTGCTCCTGCACCCCCGGCTGGCTGGGAGACACCTGTGAGCTGCCCTGCCCGGTGAGTGTCCAGGCCTGGAAAGGACTCTGTGGGCCCAGGATCCCCTCATGTCCTTTCCCTGTGGTTATTTTTTCCACGGAGAAGAGCGGGACTGGAAACCTTGGATCAGGTCTCAGCCCTAGTTCTAACCTCTCTGTGACCACTTTCCTACTTCGGGCTTCAGCCCTCTCATCTATAAAATGGCAAATACTTGGCAGATGTGGTGATATGGCGATGTGGCATCCCTTGCCCCTTGCTGCTCTCGGTAAACATTATTAGTTGACTCAGCATGTTTACCTGAGCCCAAATGCAGCTGCAGAACCCTTCACAACACAGTGCTATAGGACAACCTTACTAATCCATCAGAGTTCCATTCCTTGATAGATCATGTCGAAGTTTCCTTCTGGTTCCAGTGTCTATAATTTTATGATCGGGGTGTAGGAGTACTAAACCAAGCACTACCCAGCAGTAGCCACCTAGATTTAATCGCTGGATCTCAGTCTAAGATACAAATAAGTTAAACCAACGGATGCAATATTGTTGAATGAGTCCTGCAGTCCTGGGTTCAAAACCTGATTTTGCCACATCCTAGCTATATTACCTTGAGCATGATACTTCCCTTCTCTAACCATATTTCTCATCTGTAAATTGTGATATAATGGACTCATTGCATAGAGTCATTGTGAAGAGGAAAGAGTTATATAAGGCTCTTGATACCTAATGAACACACGACAAATGTTAGTCACCTCCTTCCCCAGGAACAAAGAACCCCAGTCATTCCTCACATGTGATCCATGTGTTGCAATTTGTAAAGGGAATTTTCATTTACAGTTTTGATTAGTGGGCATTAGAGCCCTCTGATTTTGACCATTGAGAAGCAGGGCAGGACCATCCCCTCCCTCCTTCCAAACCCCATGCTCTTGTTAACGTAGCCAGAGAATTATTTGGAGTGGCTTCATGGCTGTGTTGATCCGCAGTTATAAAAAGTGCTCCCACTGTGCCCCAGCCTAAGTCTCTCTGCATCCTTGCAGGGCAGTAGCTCAGTTTTGTCATCAAAATCCAACAGAAGCCAGGCCGGTGTGGCTCAATGGTTGTGTCGTTTCCATGCACCAAGAGGTTGCTGGTTCATTCTCCCGTAGGGGGCATGCAGGAAGCAGCCGATTGAGCTGTCTCTCTCATTGATGTTTCTATCTCTCTCTCTCCCTCTCCCTTTCTCTCTCAAATCAATAAAAATATTTTTTTAAAAAATCCAACAGAAGTGTGTGAAGCTCTGGGGGTGTGGATCTGATCATTTCTCTCTCCCCTCTGTCCACAGGATGGCACATTTGGGCCAAACTGCAGTGAGCGCTGTGACTGCAGCCACGCTGATGGCTGTGATCCTGTCACAGGCCACTGCTGCTGCCTGGCTGGATGGACAGGTAACTCCCTTGTGCCTCACCACCACCCAGGTCCTATAATCTGGGTTCTTGGTGTTTTCCATCTTCTCTTGACTGCTCTCTCTCCTTCACTACCTTCCTTTAGCTCCCTAAATATGCACCTTTCTCTTTATTCCTGGGCTTCAGTTCTCCATTCTACTCAATTTGAGTAAACAAATATTTATTGAACGCCTGTTCACAGGCTCTCTTCTAAGGGGTAGGGGCACACCAGTAAAGAATCAGACAAAGGCTGACACCTGGTGGATGTAGGCGTTTGCAGAGATATGGTGGAGAGAGGGACAGGAACCTTCTCCTGAGCTCAGGCTAAGTTCTGGTCTCTACATGTCCTCTCAGCCTACCTTCTAAACTCATGGCAAATCTATCACTTTCTCCCTCCCACTGCCCCCACTCCAGTCCCCCAGGCACCATCTCTCAGCCGGCACTGCCTTGGCCTTCTGCTTGGTCTCTGGGCCTCCCACTCTTGCCCAGCTGCATCACTGGGTGGCCAAAGTGAACTTTTCAAAACCCAGATCCTTTCACATCAATCCCTGCTCAGAATGCCTCAGTGGCTTCCCATGGCGTTCATATAAAATCCAAAATCCTTACAGTTGGCCCGGGGCCCACGTGATGTGGCCCTGCCCAGCTCCCCCACCTCTCCTTTGCCCCCTCCCATCACTCACTGCATTCCAGCCACCTAAGTGCAGTCCCTCTGCCCGTATCACTCCTTCCCTATCTCTTCACCTGATACGCCTTCTCATCCACCAGATTTCAACTTCAAGATTATTTCCTCTGGCAAGGCTCTCTCCCCAGCTACAACCCACCCCCTCAACCTGTCCGAGACTATGTAAGAGCCCCTTTTGTTTATTCTCACAATACCCTGCACTTTTCCTTTTGCAGTACATACTGCAATTGTCACTGAGCTCAGATCAGAAACTATTTCTTTGTTATCTGCCTCCCTACCTCGACCATCAGCTCTATGGAGGCAGGGACCACAGCCACCTTGCTCACCACTCTATCCACTGCCTGCCACACACTGAGATATGGGTAACACAGCCGTAAGAACACAGAGCTGGAGCCAGACTGCTGGGGTTTGTGACCTTGGGCAGGTCCTTTAACCTGTCAGGGCAGGGCCTGGACTCTCCATCCATAAAATGCAGATACTTATAATGGTCTTTTTTGAAGTTTAAATGAGTTAATACCTATAAGTGCTAACAGTGCCTGGCACATAGTAAGTGCTCAGTAAATGTAAACCTTGAATAGAGAAAGTGCTTAATAATGATATACTGTGTGGATGAACCCACTAGCCAGTCCCAAGGAGAAAGAAATACAGGCATTGCTGGCAGTGGATGTCCTCAGATAAATAATTCACACCAGGCTGCTGAGCAGCCTGTTCTCCACAAGCAAAAGTTTCTGAGCAGTCCAGGGCCAGGGACATTGCTTCCTCTGCAAAATCTTTGACCTGGCTCCCCTTGCCCTGCCCTTCAGTACACTGGCACCTTAGACTCTTAGCTGGAGCCAAGTAGAAATCCACTTTAATTTTTCATTGCCTTAATTTCAAGTGAGCCGATAAGATTTTAATGACATCTGGTGCTTAGAAATTCTGTCTTTGATGGACAACCTTTCAGGAAAGCCTCTGCTGTTCTAAAGCTAATTTCCCCAAACATGGTTCTGAAGTCATTTCAAAGGAGCGATTGATGTCCTGAGGTTTCTCATGCAGAAGGCGACTAGGGATAGGAAGGAGACAGGAGACAGGCCCCAGCCTCCTGTTTGGTGAGCCCTCCCC